AAATAGACGTAATTCCACGTACTTTTGAGGTCGGTTTTTTTAGTACTCTGTACTGAGATTATGTTATAGCTTCTGTTGTTATTGTATAATGATGATAATGGATACAGACTTGGAATGTAAATAATTTAATAAAATTGCAAAAGCTAGTATTTAGTAATAAATAATTCTATATTATAATTAATGAAAAATAATGAATTAATTAAAAAAATGTGTCACAGTGCTTCTATTTTCTCAATGTCTCTCGGCAAACTTCGTGTTTCGGCTGTCGTCGGGTTTTATTCAGTTCTTTTTTGCCTTTGGTATAGATCGGACGTTTTCAATCGACTTGGAAGTATATAGAGTTGTTATTATATTTTTATTTATTATTAAATGGGAGGAAAGCCGCTGAGGTCCTGTGGCTTGCTTGTGCACGACAGATAATTTACAGCGTGTACTTGTATTTTTTATAAGAAGCCGATACGTTCAAGAAACAACAACGATTATTTTAACAAAGTTCAGAAACGTGTTTCTGTAGCTGTGTGTGTTTCAATCGGAACAGTAAAGAATATTTTAAAAGAATATGATAAAAAAGATAAGTCAGAATGAAACTATTTTTCCGGATTTAAATCGCGTATATTTGTTTTTTCAAACAAACCGACGTTTGCAAACAAAACAAACCTAAGAACTCGTTAAAGATAAGTCAGGTTCTTTTCCTTTGCTTTACTTTGGTATTTATATTAACTTGCTTATATAAGTTGTTTTCGAGAATTATCACGAATCGTCTCCCTCGCTGGTTTGACGACTTTCAACCTCCCGAACAAGCCGGTTTCCGAAAGGGTTTTAGTACCATAGATCACATCCATACGCTGCGGCAGGTTAAACAGAAGACCGAGGAGTATAACCGGCCACTTTGCTTAGCGTTTGTGGACTATGAGAAGGCCTTTGATTCGATCGAGACCTGGGCGGTGCTGCAGTCTCTCCAAAGGTGCCAAGTAGACTATAAGTATATCGAGGTGTTAAGGTACTTATACAAAAAGCGTCAGTCCGATTACAGGATCAGAGCTCTAATCCTATCCAACACTAACGAGGCGTGAGACAGGGAGATGTTATATCTCCGAAACTGTTCACTGCTGCGTTGGAGGATATTTTCAAGCTTCTGGACTGGAAAGGACTTGGCATCAACATCAATGGCGAGTACCTAACACACCTTCGATTTGCCGATGATATAGTTCTTATGGCTGAGACCTTGAGAGACCTGAACACAATGCTCGAAGATCTCAGTAGTGTTTCCCAAAGAGTGGGTCTTAAGATGAACATGGACATGACGAAGATCATGTCGAATGTCCATGTTGTACCCGCTCCAGTTAAAATTCGGAGCATTACACTCGAAGTTGTTGACCATTATTATACCCGGGGCAGGCAGTCCAGTTAGGTAAGTCCAACTTTGAGAAAGAGATCTCTCGTTGAGTCCAGCTCGGATGGGCAGCGTCCGGGACACTATAAATTAATCTTTGCGTCCAAATTAACTCAGTGTCTCAAGACGCAAGTCTTTGACCAGTGTGTGTTGCCAGTGATCAAATATGGATCAGAAACGTGGTCCCTCACTAAGGGCCTCATAAGAAGGCTCAAGGTTTCTCAGCGGGCAATGTAGAGAGCGATGCTCGGTATTTTCCTACGTGATAGAATCAGAAATGAGGAAATCCGTAGGGAACTAAGGTAACCGACATAGCTCGAAGAAGTGCTCAGCTGAAGTGGCAGTGGGCGGGCACCTAGCTAGGAAGACCGATAGCGGTTGTGGCGGAAAAGTTCTTCTAAAGGTTCTCTATCCGTTTGTAATCGAATACGTTAAAAAATGTGCGGAACAATGCCATGTGAAACAAGGCTTAGTCTATTCAGCATACTGTTATTAATCCAGGGAATTTCCAGTGGCTCAGGTTGAATTGTTCTAAATCAGATACCTTTTTCTTTGGATATCTCATCAAAATAATTCTTTCCACAGCGGGTGGCAATAACTTTTAACTTCGTACAAAAAATCTGTGTAATAGGGCAAAATTGATATCATATCGCCAGTAATTAAGCTATGTAATTTACTCGTTCATCTAATGCAAGTTGGCAAAGTTCACACACGAAGTATAACGTCTAAATTTATATGCCATTAGCAATCTGCAGTGCTCGAACAGTCGTGCCAACTTTACGCATTATGCGGGCTTCAACGGTTTTTAATGGCTATAGGATGTTGTTAGATGCCGAAGTTACTGAACTTAGATTATTGCTTTACGATCGTGTCTGTATTATATGTTGATAAATTTTCGTGCTACATTTTGTCGTATACAATTTTGTGAGTACAGTCGATGCTCAAAGATACCGCCCCTAAACCATCTATTTAGTTCGAAGTTGGTCAGTGTCAAAAAAGGTGTTAAACAAACGCTCAACTTCATTTTCGCTCGTATTACATGGACATAGAGTTTTTTGGTTATAATAATAATAATGATACTTTATTCGGACCAAAAACAATTATCCAAAGTTTGTTAGAAAAGAACTTAGGAATAAGGTTAATATGATGCTATTCAAAGGTATTCAAATAAATTAAAATTAAAAAAGTATACAATCACGGATTATGACAACATTAAACATAAAATTGAAATTAATCTAACACACATAAGTATACTTAAACAAAACCGCCACATGAAGTTTCATCCAGTAGCCTGGATGGAGCAGTCAATTTTATCCGCCATAACTTTCAGAATGCTGTTGGGCACTCACGCACACGTCGCCAAAGTGAGGCAGCCCGCTTCCTCAGAATGGCATGAATGTCAAAAATAAATGCTATCATAATAATATTAATAATAAACAAAAATGATAATAATAAACATATATGTTTGACCTACCGCCTTTCAAGCCGAGGCCGTGGATTCGGATCCAGCCTCGCATTCCTAAGTTTCTCGGGATTTATGTGCGAAATTTAATTTTTGAAATATATCATGAGTCTTCGGTGAAGGAAAGCATTGTGATGAAACCTGCACTTCGAAGAAGGTTCACAACCTTCTGAAAATGTGTATACAAGCCCCCAACCCGCACTGGACCAGCGTGGCCGACCATTGCCTAAACCCTCGCCTGAGAGGAGACCCGTACCCAACAGTGTGACGTATAACTGTGTTAATGATAATGATGATAATAATAATAATAATAAAATTAAAACCAAAATTGTACTTCAAACATTTATATTTATTGTTTCCATATTATTGACTAGACTATCTGCTTATATTGGTAACAAAAGAACGCTAAAAATACGTAATTATTTAATAACATTACATGTTTCTTTTTACATAGTTTTTAGTTCTAATAAACACTCAAAAATTTTTATTCATAACTATAAAGATGCTAAGTTATAATTACGATAACACAAAAACACAATATAGTCATTATGAAAAGTAAAAAAGGACTCGGTTTTGGCAGCTACGCAGAGAAAAAGACTTGACGGTCTTGTCGGTAAATTGCTGTTCATAAGTAATACAATATAATTTTTTTAGCTCCTTATACATGCCCTGGAAGGAAACGACCGTGTACAACCTACTATTACATTGTTCCGGCGTAGTCAACTATAGGGTGAAATACTTTGGAGTGTAGAGGTCTTGAATAGCATTCAAAGTCTTCTGCACCCACCACACGCAAAATAGGTGCCTACATATCGAATTGCGGACATCAACCCATTTCACCACACCAGAATACCTAAGTCATAATGTATAATTGTTTTTGCATTGCCTTTACACGTAACTAATTGTATAGCAACAGATAACGGAAAAATCTCTTATACAGGGTATTTATAAATGACTAACAACTTCGCAGGATTATATTACTTACTAACATCATAAACAACAACTGTTGTTCCATGACTTTTAATAATTCATCAGATAGTACTTTGCACGTTTTGTGTGATAACTGTGCGGTAACAAAAGAAAGCCATAGCGTAAATACCAGTCCGATGTAAAACTCAGGAGCAGGGATGCGGGTTGCCAGGGAACGCTTGCACGTTTGGACTAACTTATTGCCAAATAGAAATCTAAAAAATGTCGACAGTACCTACAACGAAAACTTAAAGGTTTATTTTTAGTAAATTTATTGTTAAAAAAAAACATGGAACAAAAAGCGTTGTTTATGATAATAATATAATAATAATAACTATATATAAAAAAATAATAATAACCCTATATCGCGGGTGCCATGGACACACACATATACAACCATAAATTACACCCAAACTCACGAGAGAGATAATTGTAGGCCATACAAATATTTCTCCCGTGACGGGAATCGAACCCGGGATCCATGCGTGGCAGTCCGGCATGGTAACGTTCGGCTAGAAAAACTTTAAATTAATGATGAAATTAGTAATGTAGTCCTGCAGTAATTTATAAATATATACCCTATATACCGGTTTATAAATACCCACCATGGAATAAAAGGTGAAAAAAAATAATCTTTAAATGTATTGTACTGTATTTCAAGGGGTTTATGTTTTTGTATAATAATTTGTCGTTTATTTTCAGCACGTATAACAATTTTACGCATAACCATACTTCCGCTGTATGTAATGGGAAATTATGCGAATTTGTCATGATTTAAAATAAAATTGTTATACGTGTATATACATTTAAATCCTCACGCTATATATCTAGATAGCGATCTGCAATAATGATTGTAATATTTTGTAGGTATAGTATGTCCCCTGTCGTATAATAGATTACAAAAACTTATACAAAAGTGTATATTACTATGTTTTTAAGGAAGACGACTTTAAAGTTTAAAAACAAAATTTTTTGGCAGTGTTACACACAATGGGACTTAATGTTACACAACGCAAAGGTCTTTTGTCACATTACAATTGGCATAAACTTATTTCTATCATTTTCGAATGATCAGTCTTTCAAAATATAATTTAATTTCGAGTAAATTAAGTGATACATATTAATATTATTTAATAAGTTATTTAAATTGCGGACCTAAATTTTTATTCAATTTATTGACACTATATTTTAAGTATATTTAAAGAGAAATATTGATATGGTTTAAAAATATAAAAACAGATGATACAAACATTTTTACAAGTATATACTTTTTCTAAAATTTTGTTGTTATCTGTGGTGTGGTGTACGGCAGTGACCTGAGAAAAAGAAAAATAACTTTTATTAGCTTTATATGTACACAAATGAATGATTATCACAAATTACGGGTTTCTTACTACCGTATGAGTTCTTATCAACCCGTGACCATAGAGTGTGTAACCGTTCTGAAGTATCGGGAAAATAAAAAAAAGTCATACCGTGGTAAGAAACCTGAAATTAGTGATAATTAATTATTTAGTGAATAACCATGAAAGTCTTAAAATCTATACACAGATGAATGTTTGTCTAGTATGCGTTCCGTTACTGTACCATCATGTGTCCTAAAGCAACACGGTGTCTCTAACCATCTAATTGGAAAAAAATTAAAAATATTTTTTTTTCTGAAATAACTCCAATAGTTTTATTATGATTGTTATATCTCTCTTACTAGATGTCACTAGCGGCGACGAAAGCCGAAATGTCACAAAGATCTACAACAAAGACACATAAGAGAATATCAACGACAGGGTAACTGGACCCTGCCTCGGATGGTTAGAGCAATGCTACAGTGCAGCATGGACGTGGGTCAAGTCCCACCGGATCAACGAAATTTTTCTGCGATCTTTATATTCATAATCATAATTTAAAAAATGTTTACGAAAATCGTTAGGAACACCGCGTGTGTCTAGAACGCGTGACGGGTTATTCATAAGATTGTGACACGTTTCGCGAGTTGATTGTACTCGCAAAAGTTTCTAAGGCATTAGAACCATTTAAAACTATTAAGTGGGCCAGTTGTTTTAACAAAAGCTGAGACGGTAGTTCTTTTGCAGTGCCCGTAGAGCTCCTTGTCCTTGGCAGCAAACAAGCATAAGGCCCGCCTGGTGGAAAGCCGTCACAGTCGCCTATGAACACCTGCAACACCAGGGGCATCATGAGCACGTTGCCAACCATTTAGGACTCTTCTCAAACCTCTTTTGAAGGACTCGTTGCTGGCAAACTATCACAAACTGGATTTTTTTCCGAAATAACGTTTCACCTAAGACACGATTAGGTTAAGTTAGGTTTAAAAGAAAAAATATTTTATTTACATGCGTTATTTCTGGAAAATGCCATTTCGGCCTGCTGATGAGGTAACCCTCATTGCTGTATTCCTGCGGGAAAACCCCGACAGGGAATTCATTCCACAACCTAATTCTACGAACGACGGGAAGAAGCGTGGCGAGCGTACTATCATTACTACCACTTTTCCTATTTCAGGCATCAAGCAGAAATATGAGCATCATTGCGTTTTAATAGGTAAAGGAGCTGGTAAAATTACTGGCACGTGGGACTTGTCAACTTTCCTTTTGTCTCATGGTGACAGGCGCAGTAGCAATGCCCCTAAGTTCTTTGCGATTTAAAGTTCTATGTGCACTGCAACTACGCCTACCACTAAGCTTCACTTGTCATCATAAAATGCAATTAAAAAAACAGTTTTTCTTTCAGCGGTATTGCAACGGATGTCGATTTCAGCTAGTGTTACATTTATTAAAAACCATCTCTCCGTACGTTGCAGATGCATGCAGTCATCTGCGGAATGGCTCATGAACTAGAGACTCATTGAACGCAGAGCCAAAATATTTGTAAGTGCAAATCTGAACTGCATAGTTTAGCCCACGGGCACAAAGTTGCCTAGCAGTCGGTTTTCCACAGAATATACTTCGGTGGGTGTACCCATGAGCTCCATCAGTTCATTCCGCCTGCCCCCTTTTACAGACGTACGGCGTCTGTTAACGAAGTCAAATAAAAAAAAAATTCCATAGGTAAAATAAATTTACACTTGAAACGTTATTTCTTAAAGGTCCTGCTCATTCGTTATGCTGACTTCCCTGAGAAGAACAAGAAACTCCAAGGTTGCTCTTTTCAAATAAACTTAAACGCAATGGAATACACTTTGAATTAAATTTTTGTGGAATATAGAGACATGTCGTCTTTTCATACATCTTTATTTAACACGTCGACTCTGGAAACATAAAACCTATTACATGCATTTGAAAAATATTACAGGAGAGCGATTAAAAGTATTTTTTGTAAGAAACATAAATTGGAGTTACGATTTTTTAAATAATGATAATATAATTCTTTTTTTTTTCACCTCACTAGCTCGGAAGAGCTTTCTTTCTCATTACAAATTTGCGCGCAAAAGCGTTTTTTACACTCTAGCCTGGAAAAGGTTTTTGAAATTCGAACTTGACGATGGACTGTGGTGCACCCATTGACTTACAAATAAATGGACGACGGGTCTAATACAAAAACCACGAAAAAAATGTCCCAAGTCAACCTATTCGAAATTTAAATTGTAATGTCATCGCAGCATCGCGCTGTCAGTCGAACAAATGAAGACTAAAGCGGAGTTTGGCGCTCTGTATACGATTTTAGCGCCTTACAAGTGCGGACACTTTTTAGCGCGGACCCGACGTCCATATAATTGTAAGTCAATGGGTGCACCTAACTTTTTCTTTCGATGAAAAACAAAAGACAATGATACGTTCAACTACGCGATTTAAAGTACATTACTTATTTATGTAATATTAATTCCTTGGTATATTTTGTTCTTATTATTGTTGACATTAAATTGACAATGATTATTGTGTTTATTAAATTATTTTAATTCGTATAATTTTAATAATCACTTCATCATACAAAATAAAAGTACAAGCAAGAATAAAAATTGATGAGGTGTAAATTCAGAATGCATCCGAAGATACACTTTAAAAAAAAACTAACATTTTACGTTTTGACGTTCTCCTGTTTTTCTTCCATCTACCATTTTGTGAGGTGAAAAATTGTGTGTTTCGCTCGGCAGCAAAGTTGTTTTGCGTCTCGTGCCTTGAAACCTCGCTACGCTCAGGAGTCTATTTTTTTAATTTTTTTTTAATGTTAGCTGCCTTCACTTGCTCAGGTTTCAATACAAGCACTCGCGTCAAACAACAACTTTGCAGCCTTCCATAACAAATAACTATTGTCATATGGAAAAAGTACAAAGTTTCAGCTTAACAAATAAAATTAGTTATGATTTTTTTCTCAAAGAAATTTTTTTAAATCGCTTTCCTGTGATGTTTTCCAAATGCAGGATAGACGTTTTACCTTTCCAGGGTCGATGTAGCCTTCAGTTTTGTAATTTGACCTTGATTAAAATACTTTTAATATAAGCTCAAGTCAGCTGTGATTATGGGACCTGTAAAGGGCCAGAAATGTTGGCGTTTTTGAAAAAAAAAGAAACAAATATAGGTACTCGTTTATATCCGTAAAAATAGTTTCATTTCTTACAAGGTTTAAACTTAGGAAATGATAATCTTAATAATATACTCCGTACTTTATTGCTTTTCCATAATGTTAACATGGTGTTACAGAGAGCATTTATGGACCCTGTCAGGTACAGAAATTGCGAGCAAGGCATTTTTGAGAATTTACTGAAAAATCTCCGGAATGTTATTACAAAAACGAATCAAATTTTCTGTAAAAGAACCATTTAGATAAACGAAATCGTGGTATCATGAATTCGGACTTATAATACGGACAAATAATGCGCCTTGCGGTTATTTACTATGTATAATACCACCTTTAGATTCCATTATTCCATTACATGATTACACAATCACGACCAATGACCAATCGAGTTAGTGTAGCATGAATTATGGCTCAGTGCCAAACAAGGTTTTGTAATAAATTAATGATAATCTGTTAATGCTCCTGTATTGATGTTTGTGTTCACTCTGTGGTAATATAATTGCTGTATAATGCAAGCGCATTACAATAGCTTAGACTGTCTCATTAGGATGTTGCCAAGCAACTTTCACCCATATACTATTCGTTGTAATACACACATATATATATATATATATTATATATATATATATTTGTAATAATCTATAGTCTTGAGCGAGCGATTATACGAAAAGGGATGTAGCTTTATTCCCAGGGGTCTATTCCAACCTGTAAGGTTTACGTCGGGGAAAAAAATAGTGGTGGATGTGAAGTTAATGTGGGTCAGCGATTTTAGTAGTAATACAGCTCTTTGTGAAAGGGTTTGTCCTGGGAAGTACTGCCACCTTATCTATTTCTGCCGCCAAGCGGTAATGTGAGCATTACTGCGTTCCGGTTTTGAAGGGTTAAGGGTGCTTGTCGAATTATGTCTCGGTTAAAAAAGACTTGTAACCATTATTACTAAAATTATCAATTACGTTTTGATGTCAATTGCGATAAAACTATTACAGACAACAGTTCTACAATTGATTAAAAAGTTTAAACGGATACTTACGTCTCGGCAGCGCTGCAACTGTAGCTTTCGAAGTGCTATCGCTGTCATCTGATTCTGAACGGTTCTGGAAACTCGTTTCTGCGATCAAACATTAAGTACAATTAAAAATAATCTATAAGATAATAATTATTCTACATCTTATAGATTATGGGAAGTTAGATTTTTTTTAGCTTCGAAGTAAGAAAACCCTGTATCGTGTGTGCCATAGACACACACCTAGACAACCACAAGTTACACTCAAACTCACGAGAGAAATAAATGTAGGCCATACAAATATATCTTCCGGCCCAGGAATCGAATCCGGGACCTCTGCGTGGCTGTCCAGCATTCGTTCGGCCATGGAGGCAGTTATAACACGCGAATTAGATCCGAGTAAAACAGTTTCATTTCCTATACTTAATACATGTGATATAATTGAACTAACAAACATAATTGGTTCAAATTTCTTCCGTGATTCGAATCACAAAACAAAAAATACAATAGAAGTGGTTAGTTAACGTCTCACGCGTGCCAAAAGTAGGTCTCGTTAGACCTACTTGAGCTCTGTCCTCCATTTTGGCTTTGTACGGTATAGTTGTGTGAATTCTTTCGCGGAAATTCTCTAAACTCGTAAAAAATGCTTTATTGTGCAAAAATGGTTACCGCACCATAAATATTATCCGTCGTTGTATTTCATATCATTGGCAAGTATTCTTTTGCTTAATCAATTTTCAATTTTTTGTTTATCGAAATGATTTTTTTGTTACAAGAAACGAAAGTAAAGCTTATACATACATACCATTGCAATATGGTCGCTTCTTTTTTGGAGAACTAAATAAATAGCTCCAATTCGTCGTCGTTCAGCAATTAACCGCCAGATGACAGCACATTGATTGAAATTTCAATATAATATCAAAACTAAAAAAAAACACTCGCAATAATAGGTATTGAATTTTCAACGATATGCCAACATGGTAAAGTTTAAATTATATTAAATCGTTAATATAATTTAAACTTTAGTAAAAACAAAAAAAAAATTTCGAAAAAAAATGTTATTTCTTTTTAAATTTGAAGCTACGACCAATCACTATCAAGAATTTGTAGTGTTTCAAATTAAGAATGTGTGAGTTTTGGCGACATCGGTTCTTATAGTAATCGAGATTAATGGCACTTCCATAGTTTTTTTCTTCCCTGGTTCGAATATTGTCTTGCATAACTCGAGAACGAAGTTGATGAGTGTAATGGTGCCCGCCGCGGGAAAAGTGCCGCCCGTGCTGGCGCAGGTTATCAAGTATGAACCTTGTCACGCCCTTACAAATCGGCGCGGGCCGTGGAATCACTAATGTCTTAAGACAACATGTCGTTACCCATACGTATTTTCTGTGTTTAAATAATCTATTTTTCTTATTAAACATTTTGCTATTTCTCAATGAACATAATTGTGTTCCCTAATGTTAATGACTGTCCTTTTACTCTTACTGAGGCTTGAGGCAACTACTAATGGCGACCCTGCCAGCTGTTCTCAGTCCGTCATTACTATTAGATGAAATGAGCCCGAAACATTGGCTGTGTTTGATACACGATTTAGATGAAATTTGGATAGACAAAATAGTTTCCGATATTATTATTACAACTCGATATTATTAGATGATGATTTGTTTCGGAATCACAGACATATATCTAAATAGACATCGCAAGTACCGCGATGTGTATGAAACACAAGCGTGTCACATTTTTTGTATCTCCGATGACGTCACAAGCGCTATTTAGTGATGAGAAACCTCCTTCAGCACTAAAGCGGTTAAATCGTTAAATCGAAGACGCGGACGTAACACGTATTTAGAAAAATTATTTTTCAAGTATGTGTTGATTATAAGAAGCTGTAAAATATTAATATAGTAAAATAATGCTATACAAGTTTAAAAAAAAACTTGCTCCGGAAAGCTAAAAAAACCACAAACTTTATAGAATGTTTTTATGACTTTTTCTAAGATCTTAAAATTATCACCTCTTTGTTTCCTAAATCGATTAGAATCGAGAACTGTATTGCATTAAGTGAACATCACTAATTGTAAAATTTTACCAAAAACATGACGAAGCGTCCTCTTACCACTAAACTGAATGCATTATAGGAAAGTATAGCTCGTTCGATATTCATAGCTTACTAAAGAAGGGCCACAAGTGTACCGCATCAAGTAAAAGCCGCAACGTGTTATTAATAACGCGGCGTACACTCGTTTGCATATTTGTTTTTTCGAAATTCGTTCAAAATGAATGATTTAAAAATAATTCTGATTACAAAATTACATAAATATGCAAGTAAACGTCCATGTTTATTAATCTTGCCACAGCTGTGGTGTTTTTGTAGTTTTTAATGGCACAATTAGGCATTTCTCGCGTTTTCGACTGATGTTTAACTACGATAACGGCTGAGCGCGTTCTGCAATGTAGCAGCGCCAACGTTCATAACTTATATGTATTTACATTGGGTTTTAATCATACACACTGGCACGCACGTACACACGCAAGCACGCACGCACGCATTTATAGACTTTCTGAGAGAAATAAAGCATTTTGTATTGTATTGTACATAGGGCACGCGAAGGTCCACTTGCGGCGTCTATTTAGATACTTATAAGTCTGTGTTCGGAACCTACGTAACAAAAGTCCAGGAGGAGCAGATCTTAAAAATTACAGCAATTAGTAGCCAACGCTAATTATTTGCATGAGCGTACCAGCTGTATGGATAGAATGGCGACGTATTGTGAGGTGTATCACAACAGGCTCTGCCAAATAATGACGGCGAGCGCTCTGTCAAAAGCGAAAGAACGAAGAGGATGTAGTCGGTAGAAATTTATATTTCAATTGACAAAGTATATATGAAAGAGAAAAATCTTGTTTTATTTATCTAATAACGTGAAAAGTGCATCGACAAACGGTCGCTGTCCGCCGAGCCGGGCAACGAAGCAATATATTAGAATAGCACAGAGAATAAATTCCAAACATGTATTGTGACCATTTTTATTGGTATGCAGTTTACTGGGAAATAAATTTTATGCCTTACAAATGGTTTTGGTTATATCATGTACGTTAGTGTACGGTTTTTTTCAACACAGTACAACAGACACAATATCAATATTGTAATACCCCATAAAAGTTTATTTTTTGTCCGGATATTTGAATTATTTTCTTCTAAAATTGTTTGCATTTAAGTTTTTGAAATTACACTTGTTTGCCAAGTTTTATTGAAATCGTTTGCCGGAATCAATTAGCGGTGCGTGAAACCGGATCGATCCCCTAGTTTGCCACCCTTAGAGGTGGAATATTTTCTTTACATTTAAATGGGAACAATACTGAGGTACCCTCTTTGTAACAAAAAAGAATCAACGAAATTCGTTCACAAATGCCGGAATAACAGCGTAACATACACACATGAAAAAATACGTCGAATTGAGAACCTCCTCCTTTTTTACGTCGATTAAAATGAAAAAGGAACAAATGAATAATACAACATAGATGACGAATTCCTCAGATGCTGAGAACTATGGAGCTCGTAACACTAGCTGTAGGTTCGAAGGCCGCAAATTGAAATTATTAGTGACAATGAAATATCAACGTCGTGTTTTTTTTATGATATCAAGTGACGGGACGAACAAGTTAGTGGTGCGCCTAGTGTAACATACTAATAGCAGCAAAATGTACTATATTAGTAGCAGCACAGTATAATAAGACAAGTAGTGCAACTCCCGTATGTTCAGCGCGTCAATACCTACACTTTGTTCGGAGTCTAGGGTTGTCACATTATTGATTTAATGTATCTACAGATTGCAAACATAATTTGAAAAAATTAAGGTGTTCATAACTTATGTACGTACTTATTATTATTTTTCTACCAGAATCGCGGATTGGGATCTCGATTAAGGGAGTATGATCATGAAATAGAATTGAAATGCTGACCTATTCTGGACTCTTGTTCAAACAAGAATGAACACAAAAATAAACACGTCTATTTTTGTATCCTCCTTCTCCTCTGTCAGTCCGTTACTGCTGAGTATCGTGACATTGAGCAAGTACACTGTCAATCAATCCTCTCCACTGTACTCTGTCTTTGGCTAGGTGGAATGCGACCCTTACTGGTACTTACTGCCAGACTTTCAGCTGCCTGGTCATACCATCGTTTCGAATTTCGACCTCTAGGTCATTTGCCCTCAATCCTGCCTGTGTATGACACGTGCAACACGTGCACTATGTAACGCGAGTGCACTGTAAGATTATGCGAAGCTGCAATGCCACATATGTATGGAGTTTCACTACTATACACACACGCACATAGTTTTAAAACGTAAAGATCTAAGGAGCATTATAACTGCGTCCATCATCATGAGGAAACCCACCAGCCGTAATCTCTGTGGCACAGCACCGATAGAACGAAACTTTCTGCTGTGTCCGGCCATACCGACGAGCCTACTATACCTGTATCGACTACACTACTCCACAAAGTCTGAGGTGATAGTGGAGTACATCAGAGTAAAAGCCAAATACACCTTGCGGGTCAAACGTTTGGCGTCTCGCAACAACGTGGATTTTGAACCCACCGAACATCTGTCGACCTTCATGAAGGAGATTTGAATTAAGGCTGTCGTATATCGGCGATTCCGAGACAGGTTACCTGACATCAGATTGCGCCAACGGGACGTATAAGTGCACTTCGTGTAGATTAGTTATTTAGTTTTTATATTATAATATATGTACGTATGGTAGCCTGGTCTAAGATGACACATCCGTTAAGAGTACACAATGTGCCATTTTGCACATTTTTATCAATAACAACCACATTATTGAATATAATTATTATTCACGTCAGTATGTAAGAGTCAGATAAGTAGACTATATAATAAAACAATAGCTGATTTTCTAACACTTTTTGTTTTCATTCTATATCGTCTCAAACCTTAAGGGCGTCGTCTTAAACAGGTTACCCTAACTATTATATCTAATATGAATATTAGTCTGCCCGATTTAAATGAATAATCCATGTGCCTGTAGTGTCACCAACACCATTACCCATGAAATTTGGAACGCAGTTATGTTAGCATTAC